TGGGGTGAGCCCCTCACCTCCCTGTGCCGTGGGGTGAGCCCCTCACCTCCCTGTGCCGTGGGGTGAGCCCCTCACCTCCCTGTGCCGTGGGGTGACCCCCTTTCCTCCCTGTGCTGTGGGGTGACCCCCTCTTCTCCCTGCGCTGTGGGGTGACCCCCTCTCCTCCCTGTGCTGTGGGGTGACCCCCTCTCCTCCCTGCACTACGGGTGACCCCCACTCCTCCCTGCGCTCTGGGGTGACCTCCTCTCCTCCCTGCACTGTGGAGTGAGCCTCTCTCCTCCCTGCGCTGTGGGGTGACCCCCTCTCCTCCCTGCACTGTGGGGTGACCCCCTCTCCTCCCTGTGCTCTGGAGTGACCCCCTCTCCTCCCTGTGCTCTGGAGTGATCCCCTCTCCTCCCTGTGCTGTGGGGTGACCCCTTCTCCTCCCTACAGTACAGGTGACCTCTCTTTCTCCAGGACTTGGTTCTTGAGTTCTGGGCCTGCCTGTCCCTGTCATACACCCCCACTTTTCTATTCCCTGTTTATGCTCAGTCTAGATCCCACTGCCAAACATCAAGTGCATATTGTAGGAACCAGGTAAATACTCGTGGACTCACCGAATCAGTGACTCAGTGAATGAAGGATGGATGAACACAGACTGCCTACATGTCTGTTAGATGTTGAGTGATCTGAGCTGGTCCACGGGGCCGTGGTGGACTTGATGGAGGCCTGGCTCACCACAGGCAGGACATTATGGCAAGCTTTCGGTAATGTCCCCAGCATTTTTCTTTTAAATTCAGTGCGTACACCTGTAACTATGTTAGTACACATCTCATTTCTGGCATACGTAGTTTTAGAACTCCATTCACAGATATAGATAAAATGCCAAACAACCAAAATTAATTTGTAGTTCATGTGACCCAGACAGAGGCAGTGACAACTGGCTATTGCAGAAACACCTGTGGACAGCCAGTGCCACAGAAGGGCAGGCACTCGGGGCTTGTGGTGTCCCTTGTCAGCAGCACTAACAGTATAGGTCCAGGATAGCTGATCCTGTCCATTAAGTGAATGTGCAGCAAAGAGAGCAGTGAGACGTCTGTTTTTCTTGCATCCTTATCAAATAACTACTGTGGGAAACGGGTCTCTCCCGTGGCTCCGGGATGCACACAGTCTGAGAACAACTCTCAGGTCTGCCTGTTGTGAACTCCACACAGAAACGCTCTCTCCCTCCAGGTACAGGGCCTCCCCTTCTCATTACCCACACGACCACCTTGAATTTCAGGAAATATTTGGAACCCTTAGGAATGTTTGTCAGACTGGGTGCCAGGCCTAGAAAAGCATGTTTTACCTCTTATGTTCTGGTCACTTAGAAGCAAAAAAACCATAATAGCCTCAACAGCTAGATCATGAAAACTGCTTAAAAGCTCTACCCTCATTTGGTAAGTAGGTCTTTCAAGGAAATCCCTTCTCTACTGGAGTGGGACCATAATAGTGATGCAAAGGTCAAAGGAATTTTGGGGCTGAAACCTTACCTCTAGGAGACCTCAGGTTAAGGCAAAATTGAGGTGTCTATGCTGAGTTGTATCAGATTTCAGAATTTAGGAATGGGGGTGGAGGAAATTAGAGGGCTCCTACAAGACAGTATATAAGCAAGGACAGTATGTTTCATTGCATTTTGCCTTACATGGAGATGTATTCACAAAGAGAGTCTTGGCAGTGCAAATATGTTTTCTAATTTCACCTGTTTCTATATAAAATATGTGTTGTGTACACACACACACACACACACACACACACACAAAATCTTTTATTAGGACTGAAACATTTTTTTAGGTCAGGTATCCACTTTTTCCATCCACCTTCATGACTGAATTGTGTCATTTTTCCTTGGCCAGCACGTTTTTTGCTGGGTTGTGTCTACCTTCAAGCTCCTATGTTAGTATGTTTTAGAGATATTAAAGTAGTCTAAGTAGAAAGTTAACAGGCAAAATTCTTTGTGTTAGTGAAAAACTAAAAATGCCTCAGAATGAGAGGATTCAGTTACTGCCAAAGAGTTGGGAAGTTTCCCAGGGGCAACCCTGGCCTGAGAAGTGAGCCCCTCTTTTTGGGCCAGGCAGGGAGACGTTGGTGTCAGAATTGCAGAGCTGCTGGGCCTCTCTCCCTGGGTTGTGTGAACCAGGGACCCTGCACCAGCAGAGATGTGAACCTCGCCTCAGGAGGTGGTGAGCATCAAAGCTTTTGGAACTTTTAAAATGCTGGATGGCAGCTGAGGTGAGAACATTTTAACCTCTTCCTTGCTGTGAGAGTTGATGTGTTAAATTCCACAGTCAGCAGCTACAAATTTGCCTGTGATTTCTTCAGATTTTCTCTTCTCTGTGGTAATTCTGCAGGAGGCCCATGCTGTTGTAAAACTGCCTCTGGTCATCTGTGATAACAAGGTTGGGGCTTGGAAACCTCATTCTGGCTGTTGCTGTGACCCCCAGCCTCTGCCAGAGCCCCTGAGCCTCACACTTCTGGGAGAGGTGTGAGCGACAGACTGCCTACAGCATCATCAGTCAAGCAGAAGCATGGAAAATTTTGTCGGAAAAGTGTTATTTTTTAAATGTGATAGGTGACCTTTTTCACTTGTAGGATTGCTCTGTTCTCTTCCCAACATTCCCTGTCTAGCAGACGGCAGAAAGTGCCAGCTGTACCGTGGGCTGGGAAAGGAAAGCTCTGGGCTCAGCTGTAGAAAGAGGCGCACGTTACTTTTTTCCCTACTTGGCAAAATGTCCCCCGTGTGCCATCTGCATATGAAGTCGCATTTCCAAACATTGTTGGCAACAGTAACCGTCTAGATATAATGCAGATGGTTGGAACTGGAGTTAAGAGGAGCAGTGTTGACACTGCTTCCTTCTACTAACAGTCCTACCTCTTAATTAATTGCTTCCTACTTTAATGGAATAATTATGGAACAAAATTTTAATGACAGGTGGCCACAATAGAAAAGAAAATAAAGCTCTGTCCTCCAAATACAACTCAGCACACTGTTCTATACATACTTAGACATGTGTGTTTTTTCTGTTTGAATTTTAGAGAAATTTAATTCTCAGTTTTGGTTTTCATATCTATTTGGTGCAGGAAGTAGACAACATGAGCCTGACCAGTGGAGAAGACATTCATCATCTTCGGGGTAAGTTTATCACTTCCATCTCAGAATAACTCAGTTTTATCAAAGATGGAAGTAAAACATCTGTCTTTATAACACAAATCTTTCATATCAAGTGCCAAACTTGAAAAGAATTCAGATATTAAATCCTACTGGCATGGAGCTAAGTTAACTTGGTTTCAAGATTAGTTTGCTTCCTACAGAAAAAGTGGGGAGAAATAAAGATGTGAAGTCTGGACTAAAAACCCTTGGTAGCACCCTCCTTCGGAGTAAAATAATCAGAACATCACTGCCCAGTCCTGTCTGTAAAGAGATGGCCTGTGGGCTCTAGACCTGACCTTACATAAAAAGGAAAAATTGTTTATAGTGACTTCTCCCTTGTGTCATATAAGAACGCTTTTGTTGGCCTATTTTCAGAGGTTGTGCCTGATTCCATCGCCCCAAACAATCATTGTTAACATCTTTCCAATCTCGTCTTCTCTGTATATGAAGTGGGGTTGATTTTTTCTTATGAGTCAGAATCTTACTAAATCCTGCTTTTTTTAAACTTAGCCCTAGATTGTGAGGAGTTTCAGAGGTTTTTACAGCAGTGCATGTGAAGACAGGCCTGGGTTCTTGGCAGACGACACCAGCCATCAGACAGGAGGATGTATGGGGAGGAGGCAATAGTTGAGTGTCAGGAAGCCTAATTTATGATGTTGCTAACAAGTGATACCTTTATTGCTCTTCATCTGTGAGCACTAAAGGGCTCTTGTTTTTCAAAAACATTTTAAATTAATTCATGTTCAGAGTAATCCTTTTCATGTAAGAATTTTTAGATAATCCAAGAATTGAAACTTTAAGCCCAAAGTTGTACTGAGCTCAACCTCTGGGGCTATTGATAGGGAAAGAAATCTAGGTGAGGGGATAGAAGATAGGCCCTTCATCAGTAGCCATCGCCCCTGAGCCTGGAGAGCTAGTGTGAGTACCAGTTTCCCTTCCAGCCACACTCCATGACTCTCGAGATTCTGGCACTCCCAGAAATGCTTACTCGTGTTTGCCACAAGATATGTTCTTCCAGTTGTGGCTGTCTTTAAAAATAAAATATGCCCTAAACGTGTCCACTGTGCAGTTTGTATATTTGCACTTGATGAATGACCCTGACTAACAGCTCAAGTATGCATGGCTCCAGGCTTTGTCTTGCCTTAAAATCCCATCTAGTATTTACCAGAAAAAGAATACAGTCTCCAGATATTTTAATACGTCTGTATTTCTTACGTTTGAAATGTCCTCACCACTTCCTGCAGTTCCTTCTTAAGGACATTTGCATATCTAATCACTTTTCATGCAGATCTTGTAAGGCCAACAACCTTATGTCACAGCTTGGGAAACAGATGTTTTTTCATTTCACTTGTGAGTGTTTCCTCTCTAAATGTTAACCTTCTGTTCCTTTCGTTTCCGCTAATGTGAGGCCATCGCTACTTCTAGAAGTTTACTTCTTTGCTGCTTATTTGTGTAACTTTGAAATAAATTTCTTATCCCTTAGACTAAAGAGTAGGCCTCCATGAAAATTGTTTCCCCTTCATAATGTCTAATTTATAACTTGTCAATAAAATATTTGTTTTCAGTTGGCAAGCTTAAGTAAACCATTGAGTTGGTATAATCTTTATTATGTTCGAAAAACCAATATAGTGAATTTTTTTGTAGTCTTGATGTTGTTATATAAATTATCTCTGGTCAAGTCTTCTGATGAAATTTTCATGTATCAATTTAAAAATGAAAATAAAACAATATATTTAGTACTCATAAGTAAAATTATAAATTATAATTTTATAATCTTTGATTATCTGGAAGACATTTCACCATCTAATATATTGGGATCTTTGTGAAGAAAATGGATGTTGAATTTTGTCAGGTGCTTTCTCTGCATCTATTGAGATGATCCTATAATTTTTATCCTTCATTCTGTTAATGGGGTGTGTCATGTTGCTTGATCTGCATATGTTGAACCATCCTTGCATCCAAGGGATAGATACTACTGATTGTGGTGTATGATCCTTTTAATGCACTGTTGAATTCGGTTTGCTAGTATTTTGTTGAGGATTTTTGTACCCATGTTCATCAGGGATATTGGCCTGTAATTTTCTTTTCTTTTAGTGTCCTTGTCTGGTTTTGGTATCAGGGTGATGCTGGCCTCATAGAATGGGTTTAGAATCTTCCTTCCCCTTCAGTTTTTTGGAAGAGTTTGAGAGTTTTTTGGAAGGTTTGGAGAGAGTTAATTCTTCTTTAAATGTTTGGTAGAATTCACCAGTGAAACTGTCTGGTCCTGGACTTTTGTTTGTTGGGAGATTTTTGATTACCAATTCCATCTCCTTTCTCATTGATTGGTCTGTTCAGATTTTCTGTGTCTTCATAATTCAGTCTTTGTAAGTTGTATGTTTCTAGGAATATATCCACTTTTAGGTTACCCAGTTGTTGGCATATATATAGTTGTTCACGGTAGTCTCTTAAGATCCTTTGTATTTCTTTCTGTGGTATCATTTGTAATGTCTCCTCTTTTGTTGCTAATTTTATTTATTTGAGTCATTTCTCTTTTTCTCTTGGTTAGTCTAGCTAAAGGTTTGTCAATTTTGTTTATCTTTTCAAAAAACCAACTTAATTTCATTGATCTTTTTTATTGTTTTTTCTTATCTCTATTTCATTTATTTCTGCTCTAATCTTTATTATTTTCTTCCTCTGCTATCTTTGGCCTTCGTGTGTTTTTTTTCTAGTTCCTTGAGGTGTAAAATTAGGTTGTTTATTTGAGCTCTTTCTTTTTTTTATATAGGCATTTATTGCTATAAACTTCCCTCTTGGCACACTGCTTTTGCTGCATCCCATAGGTTTTGTATGTTGTACTTCCATTTTTATTTGTCTCAAGATACTTTTTGATTTCCTTTTTGATTTCTTCCTTGACCCATTGGTTGTTCAAGAGTTTGTTGTTTAATTTCGGCAGATTTGTGAATTTCCCAATTTTTCTCCTCTTATTGACTTCTAGTTTCATACCATTGTGATCAGAAAATATACTTGATATAATTTCAGTCTTATTAAATTTTTAAGACTTGTTTTGTGGCCTAACATATGATCTATCCTGGAGAAGATTCTGTGTACGCTTGAGAAGAATGTGTGTTCTGCTGCTGTTGGATGGAATGTTCTGCATATGTGTGTTAGGTCCATCAGATCTAAAGTATAGTTCAATTCAATGTTTCTTTATTGATTTTCTGTCTGGGTGATCTACCCATTGTTGTCAGTGGGATATTGAAGTCCCCTACTATTATTGTATTGCTATCTATTTCTCCCTTCAGTTATGTTAATTTTTTTTGTATATTTACAAATTTGACATCCTTTCATGATAAAAACTCGCAACAAAGTGGGTATAGAAGGAATGTACCTCCACATAAAAAAGGCCACATGTGACAAGTCCACAGCAAGCATCATACTCAACGGTGCCTGGCCAGCCCACACCCGTGGCCTGCCCATCTCCAGTGCACTGTCTGCCTAGTGACGTGACACAGAGCTGATTCATATCTTTCAGATATGGAAAACTTTCAAATCGTTTCTTTGGTGATTTCTTCCTTGCATTTTCTGCTCTCTGTATTTATCTCAGAGGTTAGACACCATGTTCTTGTCCTGTCATTGTCTTGTATTTTCTCTCCTAATGTCTTGATGTCTTTTTGCTCTACTTTGTGGGAAATTTCCTCAACTTTATCTTTCATCCTTTCTGTTAATTTTTTAATTTTGCTGTTTTTAAATTCTGATAGCTCAGAATGTTTCTTTTTTATAGCATACTCTTCATTTCATGATTGCAGCATGTTCTCTTGCAATGAGGAAATTAATTACACCAGTAGTTTTGTTTTATTTTTATTTTTCTTCTTTCCTAGACTATTCTTCCAAGTTTCTTTTTCTGTGTATTTGTTTGTTTGGGTCTTTGTTTTTATTTTAGATTTTTTTCTAAAATGGCTGATAATCCTTCAATGCCTGCTCGTGTTGAAGAGTCAGGCACTAAAAGGTGATTGGAAGCCTGTGCTTCCAGGCCAGGCCAGGCATCTCAGCTGTGGTCCTGGGGGAAGTCCTGACACTGGAATCCTTTACTCTCTTACCTCAGGTTGGTCAGTCTCCTTAGAGCAGAGTCCTCTGCTCTCTTCCTGGAGACACAAAGGGGATGATATTTAAGAAAATCTGAAGAAGCCCCAAGTGGCCATCTAGTACTGGGGGTGAGGGGAGGCAGCAGAGAAGTGCCTTGGAATGGACCTTGGTTTTTTATGTGAACGTGGGTGGGAAATATAAGGGAGAATAGAAAAGCAGGAACTGGGTATACTGTGATGAGGTGCGATATGGCAGTGGTTGACTTTGGAGCCAGAAGGAAAACCATGGTTCAGTTTCTGCTCAGCTGCATGCCACACATGCGGCCTGGGGCAGCGCACTTGACTCTCCACTCGTCGCTTTCTCAGTGAGGATGAGACTGAATGAGAGAGTGTACATATACACATGCAGCATTTTGCACCATGCAAACACACACACAGTGAGCCCATGCTCTGTTGCATCCACAGCAGTGGGGGTTTCTGTTGTCAGAGGAGTCAGGAACATACACTGGAGAGGCAGGGACTAGTGTCACTCAGCAAATCTGTGGGGTGCCAGCACCTGCAGCCCCATGGGAAAGGGAGAGTCTAAGCAGAGCCCCTCGAGGGTCAGGAGAAGGCGGGTAATTCCATGTCCTAGTCATGGGGGGAGCATTTCAGAAGGAGAGAGATCAGGAACTTCCAGTGTCATTGAGTTAGGAATGATCCACAAAATATAGATGATGCCAAGCACTGAGGGCCACCGTGTGTCAGCACATAACAAGCACTTGGTAGGTGACATCAGGTCTGGTAACCATGGCTAAAAATGTGACCTTTGGTTTTAGCAATTAGGAGATCAGTAGTGATGGCCACAATGCCCCATTTAATAAGCGAGCACCCTGAAGGGCAGGGGAGATCCCTCAACTCATTCTAGAATTGGGCAGTATATATTAAGTAAAACTTGCACCTGGCAGATCTTATAGTCTTCTCTTCCAGATCCAGAGTCGGCTGCTGCACACACACAAACACACACACACCCCTCGAGTTTGCCTGCTTCCCTCAGAAAAGGAGCTGCTGCAACAGATCCCCCCTCATTTTGGCAATCCATTCCCGACACCCTAGTCCCTCCTGCTAAGGAACTTCTCAGCAGGAGGAGCAGGAGGCACTGGTTCTCTCCTCTCATGGGCTGGCTCAGAGGAGGTGGTTGGCACGGAGACTCATGATCACTTGTGTTCTAGGTGGTCCAACTGATGCCTGCTGCTGCAGTGCTGGAATGGGACAGAACCCTTCACAGCTGGAGAAAGAATTGTCTTAAATAAAACTTGGACATTGAACATAAATTCAGTATATCTTGCTTGTCTGCAATCAAGACATATGGTAAAACACACTGTATTTCCACATTACAGCCCTCGGTACAGATGTGTTGGATGATGTCAGCTGGATGTGGTGGGTGTGTTAAACTCCGTTCCACCGTGTACATGCCGCAGTTAGAGAAATGACAACACTTCCAGAAACCAAGGAAATGAGGCAGAACTGAAGATGCTCGTGAAAAAGCAGCCTGCTGTCACCCAGAAGCATCGCATGGCTTCAGGCTAAATACAAGGATCATTTTTAATTTGAATGTTTGTAAATGTATGGATATTCATGGGGAATGTATTAGGAAAAGAATAAAGAAACAGCTCAGTAACTTGTACAGAAGTCCTCCTGTGTTAGGCAGGGGCTTCTCTGTCACCTGCTCTGTGAAGTAGCCGCACGGCAGAGCCTTGAACATCTCTCTCCAGAGAGAGGTGAAGAGGTGGGTGCATTGTTACAGCTCCTCCTGCTTTGTTTAACGAACTTGGAGAGAAACCTGCATGCCTGCGTAGCCTGACTGACACCAAGTGTCTTCTAACCGCTATCTTTGAATTCATCAAACTTGAGTTAGAAATACAATTTCACAGCAAGTTATTTTCTCAGTGGTTGGCCCAGGCCTCTGACGTCAAGGATCCTTGTAAGAGTTTACTGATCGTGCACATCATTAGGGTTTCTCATGTTATAGCTCTTAAGTTTTGATTCCTTTTTTTAAATTTGTTAAAAATGCCACTTTATCAGGACTTCAGGGGTTTTCCATTGGTGAGTGAAAATCACTTGTTTGTGGTTACCATTTTGCTCCTAGGAAGTAAGCCAGACCATCCTTATTTAAAGGAAACACGTGCAAGAACCAAGAAGTAGTGCCGGAGCGCGGCCTGGTGGCTCCTCCAGGAGAGGCCGTGAGGCCCTCCCCACACTTGCTGTGTGGGGCCATCACACCAAGACAGCACCGCAGCTGTCAGAGGGTCTGAGTAGGTTTGTCAGCTTTCCTTTTGTGTTGTGACGATGATCTGTAATACACGTTTGTGGCTTATTACTAAATATAAATGATTAGTCTGCTATTACTAACAAGAACACGTGACTGACCTACTTGCTTCTCTTTTTCTTCTGAACCTATCATTAAAGTTCTGGAGCTGAAAAGACCTTGGGGATCTGACCCAGGCCTCTTAGGTGACAGATGAAGTCTGTGAGCTTACCTGTGGGCTCCAGCGACACAGGTCCTGACGGTCCTGGCCCGACTCTGCCTGGCCACCTTCTACTTTGTGGCCCTGGTGTCATCATCTCCAAGTCAGTGGGTTTCTTCAGTAAGGATTTCTCAGATGGAAGTCATATGTGACACCCTTGAAAGGAAAAAAAGTGGTGATTCCTGTGTTGATTTGTTATTATTATTCTAGTGTTAATTTAGTATGTGCAAACATGCATTAGATTGCTTATGCTTAGAGCTTTCTGAAGACAACTTTCAATCCAAGACATCATGCAAATGCAATGAAAACAAAATTATAAAACAAATAGCGTATTACCACAATCCCCAGCAACTCCCCGGGGGGCTGGCCAGTGGCCTGAGAGGCCGGCTGCTGTGGGCTGTGCTCAGGATGAAGGCTTTGTACGAGACAATGGCCAGTTGGAACCCTCTTCTAGGGAGCTGCAGTGCCAGCGCCCACAGAAGGGACAGAGGCCGTGGCCACGGCACCACAGGCAGAGAGCAGAGGCCTTGAGGGCAGCCAGGCGTGAGGGTGGTGCCAGGACAAGGAGGCTGGGGAGGACCCTGCCCGGGTGCTGGCCCTGGGCCCGTCTCTAGGAGGCAGTGGTGCAATTGGATCTGTCCTGTCCCTCTTGCCCCTCAGTACCGTGATGGGCGTCCCAGGCTGTCCACCCCTGCATTGAGCTAACAGAACGTCTAGTGTGGCCAGAGCCAGTGGTGGCGCCCAGCACTCCCCCACTTTGATGCTGACCCATGCGTCCAGCATCTTCTGAGGAGACTAGATGCCAAGAGGGGCTTCTGCCTTATCTGTGCTGTCTGAATTATTGCAACAAGAGTGACTTCATGTGGTGGTGTTTTTTTTTCTTTGTAAATTGAAGATAGAGAAAAGAAAGCAAGGTACCCAGTGACAGTTTTTATATCTCGGATAAAGTACAAATTTTTAAAGTACCGATTACTTGGATTTAATAAATCAGGTTTTTTCCTTCAGGTGTCAGCACCCAAGGGATTGGATATGTTCATTTTTTTTCCATCTTTTGAACTTTTTGTTTAGAATTTCAAACTTTTTCAGGCTCCTGCCACAACTTAGGAAGAAAAATAAGTAAGTAGGCACCAGCAGTTCCTGACTGTCACAAAAAAGAAAAAGAATTACACGAAAGGAGAAAAGAGCGTATGCTTGTGTGTGGTGGGTCCATCTTTCATCATGTAGTGTGGAGATGTCAGCTGACGACACGCAGTGTGTGGTTTATGCTCGTTTATTTCCATGTCACAGAAAGAGCTGGGTCTTCAGTGTTGTCCTCGCTCTTTGCCTGAGCCAGGATTCCTCACCAGCGTGAACTGTCCACTTTGGGAAGAGACTCGTGGCCGTGCTGAGCGTGATGTTGTCAGACCACTGAACTACCATTCCTCAGCGGAAAGAGGGACCTTCAACACTGCCCTTGGGAAGCGTGCCCCTGGGTAGAGGGGCACCCTGGCCTGTGCACCAGGTGCTGCATTCACCCTCTTGGATGTCAGGCACCCCTTGGGGCCCTGGTGTTTATAATCTCCTCTTGTTTGATGCCAAGTTGAACACCATGGGGCATGACCCATCCCTGTCACTTTAGCAAGAGCTAATACGTGCCTTTTCTTTCCTAGCTACATCTCCCACATGTTCTCGGGGCTCTTTGTAAAGCATTAAGAAGAGCCCAAGGATGGAGACTTGCTTTACAAAGTTGACCATGAAATTTAGTCCAACAGTGATGAGAGCAGCCGACAACTGGCAGACATTTCAATTCCTTTTCTCTCCTCATGTTGAGCCAAGTGCACATGAAGGTCCTAAGTTATTAGAGAAGGTGTTCATTCAGCTCCTTTTCACAGGCTCGGCTGACATCTGAGGGCTGTAGCTGGACCCTCGCTGCTTCCGTGGTTGATTGCATTCACCTGCTGCTGCAGGTGGCCCAGGCTGCATCATGGCCAGGCACATGTCTCAGTATAAAGCCGAGCATTACAGCCCTCACCTCCTGCAGAAACAGCCTTTGGTTTGCAAGCTGTTTATGGTTCTGAAGGAGAAGAGTGGTGAAAGCCAACCACTCTAGGAATCTGACTTCTCTCATTATTGTCAGCTTTACTAGATGTTAGATAAACAACAAAAAGTTAACTTTAACCTTCTCTACTTGGCAAGCCATCTGAACTAAAAAGAGGAGAAGCGGCAGCCTTGCAAACACAGGTTGGTCTTCACTTCTCTGTGGTTTCCCCAGAAAGCCTCTGCTGCCTGGAGAAGCTGGATCAGAGGAACCCACAGGACACAAGAAGAGAGACATGGGTGATCCCTCACGGGGTGCTGATGGCCAGACTCGGGTGATGCTCACGTTTTACCAGCCGTCCTTTGGGCACCTGGCTCCGGGTCTTACTTTGCCAGGAGATCAGACTAGGGGGCGAGGATGATCTGGCCCGCGGTGGCCCGCATGAGAGAGCTAACTGCCCTTCCATCAGAGCTCTACCTTCGGGCACAAACATCCTTAATCTTCAGATGGTGTGTCCTAATTAGGGACCACTGAATTTTAATAAACTTTTCTGTAAAACTGAATAGAGGAATCCAGGAAAGGAATCTCTTCCAGGAAGGTTGGATGACTATACGTTTTCTTGCTGGCTGTTGCTACAGTTTCATTGTCTTCTAATGCCATTTTGTATGAGACAAGTTTAGTACCAAGAGTAAAACACTGTCCGAGGTCTGTTTCCTGGTGTTCATTCAGCCGTTTCAGCCTGTCAATCCTTTGTGTTCACATCTGATTTATAAGTTTGTGTAAAATGGTGTGAGACGTACTCTCCTTTTTGTTGATCCCTGTAGTTGTTAAAATACAGGAAGAGCAGATAATTCTGTTAAATTAAGCCACCACTCTGTCTTATCGACTCAAATGCTTCAAGCCACAGCCCTTAACTTACCATCCAAATCAAGAGAAAAACCAGTCGAGTGTGAAGAGATATTAAAATGGTCTGAGCCACTGAAATAAGGCTGTTCTGTCCTCGTGTCCCAGATGGCTGTGTGGTGACAGGCCATGTGTGCTTGGGTGAAGGAGAAATTCTCTAATAACGTTGGAGCTGGCCTCCGAAGAAGCCAGTCCTAAGGAGACGGTATTCAGTAGCTGAAGGAATAATTACTCAGCAATACTCAATATGTCCTACAGAATTCATTTCATTCTGAGAAGGTTTTACCAGAGTCATACTCTTTTTGTTTCCCTCAGAAATCTTCCTCTTCCTTTGCTCTTTTCTGATATTCTGGTTTTTAGGATATTTCCTTCTAACAATTTGACCTTTCGAAGTCTGGAAGCTAGGGTATAGTGAGGTCCAGCCATTGGCTCCTCGTAAAAATGCTCACAGTGCATTATAATGTGCTGGTTGTTGAACCAAATATCTGAGCTTGTGTGCATAAATGGTATAAAAACCAGTTTCTTGTCATGTTGGATACTGAGAGACTTTTCCTTCACAAAGAAGCAGCGGATCATTATACAAGAAATCTCCCAGGTTGTGGACTATACCAAGTGTATGAAGATGGAAATTAGACCATCGTAGAAAGTGCGGCTTTTATCCAATCCAGATGATCGTTTTGGGAGCAGTTCTCATTCTTTCTGGTCTTAGACCCTATTATACTTAAAATTTGTTGAGAACTCCAGGTTACTGTATTGAAAATTAGAAAGAAAAATTTTAAATATGTGTTTATTTAAAAATAACAACACGTTAACATTTTTTATGCAGAAAGCCCCTATATTAAAAAAAAAAAAAAAACAGTGAGAAGAGCAGCATTGTTCTACACTTTTGCAAATCTATTTAATGTCTGGTTTTATAAAGACAACTGGATCCTCACGCGTGCTTCTGCATTCATCTGTGGCCATGTGTTGTTTGGTTGAAGTGAAAAGGAAAACCCAGCCCTGCAGACCTGCGCCTGAGAGAGGAGAGGCCTTTGTGGCATTTTCATGGATTTGTGGACGTTCTTCCAGGAAACCACCTCAACACTCACCAAGTGTGAGTTCTCTGCAGGCTGATTGCAGTGTGGAATCTGAAGCCCCATCCATGAACTTTCTGCCCGCTGTTACATTACAATCCATTGGTCTGGCTTGCATTTTAAATGAATTTATTTCCTGTGTATAATTTTGCAACATGCTTTAGTCATTTGGAAAATATTGGTTCACGGAGTTATGCAGATCTTCTTAGTGTTGACGTGTTTCCTTAGACAACATCAGAAAGTCTCGTTTGTTCATATCTCCCCAGTCTCATCAGGATCTTCAGTGTCAAGAAGCCCTCAAGCTGCTGTGACTCATACACGTGTTCCAGACTCTACTTTTTGCTTGAAATCTTGGGTTTCATCACTGGCAACAAAACCGTCAGTTGTTTTCCTTGAAGTGACAACATCAGAACTTCTGGAAAGGGAAGGAGGGGAGCAAGATATGGGTAGGGTTTTCACTGTGTAATTAATGCTTTAAAAAAGGCGTCTGAAAAAATATGGCAAAAGCTACTGTCTGTTGAATCCAGGTAGCCAGTACAGGATAATCCAGGCACTTTCTGTGTGTTTAAAATATTTCATAATAAAAATTAAAGTAACTTTGAGGATAGTGAACAGATCTGGGAAACCCAGCAGTCCTAAAATGTGGCCTATAAACATGGGAAGGAGAAACCCGTATCCCTCACCCTCCAAGTTTGTAGTGGAGGCAGAATGTCTGATCACAGGGAGATCCTGGGG